GAGTCATGCATGACTTCAAGAAGTCGTCGGCTATTGCAGGTTCAGCGGGTGGCTTCCCAGTGATGTCAAGCATGAAGATGGGGCAGAAGAAAACAACTATCTTCTTTTTACAGGATCCCTACTCATCCTTGTGTGCAATTCTAACAATATTGGATGGCGCTTTTTTCAGGCTGAGTATTATTTGGAGCAAGTCCCAAATGTTCCCACTGGACCTGATCCTACAGGAGAGGGACCCTGTCCTGCTCCTCCAGTGGGTAACCCAAATTAAGTATCTGGGGGTGTAAGTTACTAATGACCTCCCAGATTTCACATTGCTAAATTTGACCCCACTGCTGGGATTGGTAAAATCCAAGTTTGAACTCTGGATGTCATTGTCACTGACACTAATTGAACAGAACAACTTGCTTAAGATGAAGCTACTTACTATACTACTGTATGTATTCTTCGAAATGCTCTAGTTTAAACAGTTAGATGCCTGTATTTCCTCTTTCCTTTGGAATAATAAAGCCTCCCAGACTCAGCATCGCCACTCTGAAGCAACCGGCATCCATGGGGGGCATGGCCCTTCCCAATTTCTTTTAATATTTCCTGGCTGGTACCTAGTACACACCCATAACTGTCTCTCGCTTGACAAAGGGAAAGCATCTTTGGTGGTGGAGGCTGCAGTGCTACGTTCTTATGAGGCACTGCAATCCCTACTTTACAGAGGTTATTGGGGCCCTTATCCTTATACTCACACTATGCAGGCTACGATTCGGGCATGAAACAGGTGTGGGGTATTGCACCCTATGACCTCTCCCATCTGGTATCCACATTGCTTGTGGAATAACCCAACCCTTCCTCAACTCTTCAGGGACTCGGAGCCAGTAATATGGGCGTCTAAGGGCAATAAATCTTAGACTGTACACCCCTTGAGGGTTAGGGACTTATATGAATGTACAATATATATGTAAAGTGCTGCGTAAATTGACGGCACTATATAAGTACCTATAATAAATAATAAACAGTTAAGAGATATATATCAACAGCGATCTCCCTGTTTTAAGTTCTACATTTTTAAGTATTCATTACCCAACTAGTATTTTTTTTTGTTATTTACAATTACACCATGCTTATACAATTCAGATTGATTCTACACCTATAACTTCCATAATCTGGAAGGCCCACTAAGTACTGTACCAGGCTGTACGTCCACCTCTCTTTGACCAAATGCAGGGGAAGATGGACAATAGATGTTCTGGACCTGGACATTGATAACTGGAAGGATGTCTGGGATGTCTCCTTTTCAATATCTTGTACTTTATATCCCTGGTGATGGCTGTTTCAGTGCCTAACAAACTAAGAGCATGCCTGCTGGGCTTGGTTGAGCCCTTGACTTCCTGTAAGGTCACTAGAGTACTTTTAAGCATACTACCATTTTATGCTAGAAAATCCATAGTCTTACGCTGGAAATCACCTAATCCCCCATCATTGTAACAGTGAAAATGTATTTTTAACGTTGCACTTCCCCTTTATAAGGCTTCCTACAATAGTCTCGGATGCCTAACTAAATTTGACAAAATTTTAACCCCATGGCTAGAGCATCCTGGTACTATCACAGAATTATCAACCTGAGTACTGCCTGTGGGATCTCCTAGTGGTTGTGCTGTTTTTAATCACATTATTTTTCATCCTCCACTCTTGTGGTAGCTTGGAGCACTGTAGTTACTCATCCAATCAAATGACATCTTTGGACCACTGACTTTCCATTAATGCCCTGACTTTAAACCTTTAGGTACCCCTGTTGGCAGCTGTATCAACCAGATTTAGACTGTAAGGGTAAATCTACACTCAAAGTTTTTCTGTTATTTTTGCTTTTTTCTTTGTTTTACTTTCTTGGTGGTGAACGATTGTATTTCCTTTTGTGTACCCTTTATGGAAAATTGAAATAAAAAATAAGTTATAAAAAAAAGTGATGGTGGGCTTGAGACCAGGACAGAAGGTAAGAGGATCTCAACAGGACAATGTTAGACCTTCTGGGTGGTTGGATATATTAACTGTGGAGATAAGCAGGCATTAAGAAAGAAAAAATGAGGGGGTGAGGGTTAACGCCCTCTTTAAGTCCACCTGTATCAAGTAAGCTGATCACCTCTAGTTTATTTCATCTGTTTCTCTCTGTATATCCCGATTAAGGCCATGAAATTCAACAATCCAGTCAATTTCCCATATTAAACATACTCCAGCCCTTCAAGACCGAGCATTAAGAATACTTATATAGTGCAGTTGAATAAATAAATATATGGTGCACCAAGAAGATACACCTGCAGTGAATGTTTGGTGTCACATTCACTGCTGTATAATCATACCAGTGTAGTCCAACTTATTTAAACTAGGAAAAACAATTTTCTTATTCTTAATTGCAATAAGATTAAAGTGTTATTAAACCCCAAATAGTTAAAATCCCAAAGTGCTGCGGACCTCGGGACTTACTATATTTGCTGTGTATTTCTCATTTTAAACCTAAGGTTGCTTTGCCTTCTTTGAGTCAAAATGTTCTCTTCGTACTCTGGTTTTCAAATGACCTTATACTAAAATTAGAATTGAGGTAAAGTTCTGGGTTGTTTTTAGATTTTCCTGCATGTGAATGGGCATTCTTTGCAAAGTGAATTTTCACAGCATTTAGTAAGCTAGGTGAAAATTCCCTGCAAAGTAAAAATTAATTTCTAAACAGCCCAAATTCTGCATGATTTATGGAATGGATTCAGGTGTTCCAGTTCCCTCCATGGCCACAGGTGTATAAAATCAAGCACCTAGGCATGCAGACTGCTTCTGCAAGCATTTGTGAAAGAATGGGTCGCTCTCAGGAGCTCAGTGAATTCAAGCTTGGTACCGTGATAGGTTGCCACCTGTGCAATAAGTCCATCTGTGAAATATTCTTGCTACTATATATTCCTATTAGTGGTATTATAACAAAGTGGAAGCAACTGGGAACAACAGTAACTCAGCCACGAAGTGGTAGGCCATGAAAAATGACAGAGCAGGGTCAGCGCATGCTGAAGTGCACAGTGTGCAAAAGTCGCTGTCTGCAGAACCATTAGCTAAAGACCTCCATACTTTGTGTGGCCTTCAGATTAGCACTACAACAGTGCATAGAGAGCTTCATGGAATGGGTTTCCATGGCCAAGCAGCTGCATCCAAGCCTTACATTACCAAGTGCAATGCAAAGCGCCGGATGCAGTGGTGTAAAGCAAAGTGCCACTGGACTCTAGAGCAGTGGAGACGTGTTCTCTGGAGTGACAAATCACGTTTCTCTCTCTGGCAATCTGATGGACATGTCTGGGTTTGGTGGTTGCCAGGAGAATGGTACTTGCCTGACTACATTGTGCCAAGTGTACAGTTTGGTGAAAGGGGGATTATTGTGTGTGGCTGTTTTTCCTAGGTTGGGCTTGGCCCCCTAGTTCCAGTGAAGGGAACTCTTAACCTCCCTGGCGGTATGATTTTTTCAGATTTTTGGTGCTGAAAGCGGTACCATTATTTTGCATGGAAATTTGGTGTTTTATATTGTAGGCCTGTAATTTTTAGGAATAACTCACTGAAATCTGTCCGAACAAGAGTCTAGTAAACATCCCGGGTATGTTAAAATTTGAAACGCGAAATCATAAATTATAACGTAATAAATATTCATAAAAAATAATAATATAATAATTAATTTAATTAAATAATGTAATCAAACCAAAAACACAAAAATTTGAAATATAGTGCCAAGTTTGCACATCACTGAGCAAAGTCGCAAAATCTTTTTCAGTGTCTGATGACAAATTTCCCCACAAATCATTATCACTCAATTCTGCAAGTAGTTCTAATTTACTATCGCTGTTCTCTAGCTGGTCTAAAACCGATTTTGACCTAAAGGGACGCTATTTGGACGCCATGGACGTTTCTCAGTTTCCAGGCAGAAAGAACGGTAAAAATGCAGGCAGGGCACAGGACAAAGCACTCGGGAGAAAATGTATGTGAAATGGTTTGATACAGTAATGTTATACTATGTGATTTTAGTGATTTTAGTGAATGTCCCTTTTTGTCATTTTCAAATTTCCCGCCAGTTCCGTCCCCTGTATGCCCTGACGCTCGCAGGGGATGGAACCCAGATGACAGATGCCGGCATCCGCCGGATTACACTGCCAGGGACACTGCAGGAGGGACATCGCGGGAGCGCAGGACAAGGTAAGTGATCGAGGGATCTCGGAGCAGCGCTACATGGTAAGCCCGAGTGTAGCTCGGGGTTCCCACTTGTGGTGCTGAAACTTTACCCCGAGCTACACTCGGGAATACCGCCAAGGAGGTTAAGGCGTCAGCATGCCAAGACATTTTGGACAATTTCATGCTCCCAACTTTGTGTGAACAGTTTGGGGATGGCCCCTTCCTGTTCCAACATGACTGAACATGATTGCACAAAGCAAGGTCCATAAAGACAGGAATGAGCAAGTTTGGGGTGGAGGAATTTGACTGGCCTGCACAGAGTCCTGCCCTCACCCGATAGAACACCTTTGGGATAAATTAGAGCGGAGACTGCGAGCCAGGCCTTCTCATCCAACATCATTGCCTGACCTCACAAATGTGCTTCTAGAAGAATGGTGAAACATCTCCATAGACACACTCCTAAACCTTGTGGACAGCCTTCCCAGAAGAGTTGAAGCTGTTATAGCTGCAAAGGGTGGGCCAACTCAATATTGAATCCTTCAGACTAAGACTGGAATGTCATTAAAGTTAATGTGCGTTTAAAGTCAGGCATCCTAATACTTTTGGCAATATAGTGTATCTTTGTGATATTTATCTACCAGCTTTAGTGCAATTGTGAGAGTAGGTAGGTTTATACTTTGAACCTCCCTGACGATATTCCCGAGTGTAGTTTGGGGTTAATTATCAGTGCCAAAAGCGGTAACCCCAAGGTACACTCGGGATTACGCTGCAGCGTTGCTCTGGGATTCCCTCGATCACTTACCTTGTCCTGCGCTCCCACGATGTGTCCCCTGCAGCGTCCCCGGCCATCTCCTCTGGCCGATGCTGGCATCTGTCTTCCGGGTTCTGGTCCCTGCGAGTGTCGGGACATACGAGACGTACAGGGGCCGGAACCGGCAGGAAATTTAAAATTTTTTAAAATTTACATTCACTAATACACTAAAATCACATAGTAAAACATTACTGTTTCAAAGCATTTCACATACATTGTGTCCCTAGTGCTTTGTCCTGTGCCCTGCCTGCATTTTTACCATTCTTTCTGCCTGGAAACTGAGAAAAGTCCATGGCGTCCAAAAAGAATCCCTTTATGTTAAAAGCGGTTTTAGACCAGCTAGAGAACAGCGATAGTAAATCAGAACCACTTGCAGAATTGAGTAATAATGATTTGTGGGGAAATTCGTCATCAAACACGGAAAACGATTTTGCGACTAAGCTTAGTGATGTGCGAACTCGGCGCTCTATTTCAAATTTCAGTGTTTTTGATTTGATTATATTATTGAATTAAATGTATTATTATTATACTATTATTTTTTATGATTATTTATTAAATTATAATTTATGATTTTGTGTTTCAAATTTTATCCTACCCGGGATGTTTACTAGACTCTTGTTCAGACAGATTTCAGTGAGTTATTCCTAAAAATTACAGGCCTACAATAAAAAAACGACATATTTCCATGCAAAATAATGTACCGCTTTCAGCACAAAAATATGGACATAATCAGACCGCTAGGGGGTCAATATTCACGAAGCAAAAGGAAGGGGTGATGACTGCATGATGATTGCATGTTGCTTGATAAAATAAATCCTGTATCCCTATCTTACTACAATTCTTTTGCTGGATTTACCTAGCAATGCCTAGATCTTTCAAGATAAAAGGAGAATAAAGAAACAAGTATCCATATTATAAATATTAAAGAGTGATGATGCATACACATACACGTGATGATGTAAAAATACACAGGCCCAGAAATGCGTGAGAAAGCAAGGAACCTGCAGGGAACACAGAGAAAAGGTTCCTGGTCCTTTTATGAAACTGCAGCCGAAACACTATACAGTTCTGCAAGTTTCCGTGCACCAAAGTTTCCTGTTTTGGCAGCGGGAACTTGGGTGCAAGAACATGCGTGATTTACATGCATTCCCACACCAACAATAGCTATAAAGCCCATTTGAAGTCAAAAGAATATAAGGTCAGATAGCTATGTGGAGGTAGCCTAACTGGGGGTAGCCTCACGGGTTAATCTTCCACATTGTGTAAAAAGGCTTTTTGATCCTGTCTTCTCTGATCCTCGCCTTCTTTTACTGTGCAAGTCTGCACATTCTCTGTTTGGTCTTTATTGCTAGAGAGTTTTTTTGGGGAGAGGGTGCATGTGATCAGCACAGGGCCAATCAGCGCTGTCCGGACAGGGGGTCAGAGGTCATGCAGCCTCATAGAATCGTCAGAGGAGAATGAAAACTCCTTCTACAAGATTAATCAGTGTTCAGCGAGACACTGATAGAAGTCACAAGACTGCTATGTACTGTTGATGACAAAAGATATTTAGCAGTTTATATTTACTAAAATAATTGCATTTCCATGTTCTGTGTACTGTGAGAGACCAGATATAGTGAATATAGGGTCATGGGTTTAGTTTTGTCACTGCACACCCAAATACTTCTGTTTCAGAACTGCCCAAGACTACCAACCTGAACACAAGACTATCGCACTACTTCTAAGCACTGATAGAGCCCAAACCCTAGGACCCCTGAGTTTCCTCCCATTTAGTCATACCTGAGCTCCTTGTATTCAAGAATAGAGATCCACAATTCTAACTCACACATGGATGCACTAGTGGGCACAAGGATCATGTCCAATACCTTCATCCCTGGGGAACATGGACCACTACCAACCTGGCAGAGCTAAAGTGAACTACACTATTACACTGAATTCACATCCACATATTGTACATGCTAACTCCACTCTACCTTACTCAGAATCTTACATCAGAAATATTTCAAAGAATATGAATATCCAAACCTGTTAGTTATGAATTTAGTTGTCCTATTTACTTAGAAAAACAAAACATTAGGCTTCACTCCAGCATACTTACACCCAGGGGTGGACTGACCATTTGGAAACTCGGGCACTGCCCGAGGGCCCGGGGTCAGTAGGGGGCCCCATGAGATGCCCCTGGTACATTTTTCATAGGCTTTTTTGAGTTTGGGCAAGGACACAGGGGCCCCATGATCCCCTATTGCCCAGGGGCCCCATGAGTTGTCAGTCCACCCCTGCTTACACCTGACTAAGAACTTGAACAAGAAATTCTTTCCACCTTTAAGGGTAGGTCAGGTGCTCACTCAGTCTCTGAGGGGGGTATAGGTAAGCTTTTTTTTCTCTCTAGCTTTAAAATAGGGGTCATTTTCACATCAAGGTACTCACAGTACATGAGAGGGTCTGAATTTCCAGCCCATACTGGGGGAATTCATCTCCAGTTACTCTGTTGGACAAACTCTTCTCTTTCCATCCCAGTTCCTTGAAGGAAAGCACACACCCTAGTCTTCCAGCCTTTACAGTCTTTCAGTAGTGACATGAAGAGAAATGGAATCCCTTCTTCCTTGACACAGGTCCAAAAGGGCCACCAAAAGAGTTTGGTGTCTATCTGCAACAGACCTCCTGAAGATGGAGCATATTGCTCAAGCAATGGACACATTAATCCTAAGCTAGGTTCCCCCTACTGCCAGCAACAAGAGGGCAGGGCCTCCCGTAAAAGGATCCTACACAGATGAAGTTAGGATATATGGGGACATCTAGTGGCACCAAAGAGAACAACATAGACATTTCTTCAAAGAAAATTCCAACTGGTTCTAACACCTTGTTACAAGAGAGACAGTGTATTAACAACCTTCATTTTATATTCTTACCTCTATTGGCCTGTTTTGGCAGTTGTGCAGGGTTTTTAATTTCCACATCTGCTGTGAATTTCCATGGTCATTCAGTTTTTTATCACATAACTAGTTTATCAATCAGCTCTTTATGAGAGTTTTGTTAGCTCTGTGAATATGCATCCCAGTTCCCAGGGATATTGTGCTTTGAAAGGTTACCAGATGCTTCTAATTAAGCTAGTTGTGATGAACAGATAAAAACCCTCCTCTGGTTACTCCCCTAGCACTACGATTTATGCAGGCCAAAGACGGGTCGAAAACCAGACTTTTTAAAAAAAAAAAAAAAACACACGAAAAACCGGTCGTTCAATAGGCCGACGTTACAACCAACGGTATAATTAAAAAAAAACGGCCAATTTTCATCCCGCCTACGGCCAGCATTTAATTACTTCTGTCCCTGCAGAGAGCTCCGTTATTATATTTGACATGAAAAAGTATTGTGGTTGCAACATTGTATCTATTTGTATCCATTTCGGAAACAGATGTTTTTATTTGGATACAAATAGATACATTGTTGCAACCGCAATACTTTTTCATGTCAAATGTAATAGCGGACTGGAATTCTTCTTCTTTTTCTTCTTTTTCTTCTTCTTCTTCTTGCAGGCCACGGCTCATGCGCAGATTTTTTACCGGTAAAAAGATGAGCCGATTTGCCCATCTTTTTACCTGTAAAAAGATGAGCCGATTTGCCCATCATTGCTGGGAAAACCGGCCAATCGGCAAAATCGGCCAATTTTTTTCCAACTTCACCGATAAAAAAAATGTGCCAAAACCCCGAAAACCGGCCGACCAATTAACCCATTAACAGTGCGAAAATCGGCCAATTTTTTTTTTTCGACCCGTCTATGGCCTGCATAAGCCATAAAAGTTTGGTCCTAAAAGGGCTGTTAATGTCAAGCTGGTGGATCTCCTTCCTATTATATGTGGACACCAGTGATCCCTTCAGTGTGCAGTGTCTTTCTTCTTTGCACTTGTTCTGTGAGCAGAGACAGCTCGTATAACTCCCGGACCCCATTTTTGAAGTGGCAGTGAGGGGGAGAAGCTTGAAGTGGAGCATTTTTATGTTTAAGCATCCAAATTTTTGGAACTTACTAACATTAGGCCACTTTGGTCAGATCAGTAGTGACAGGTGCATGTAGCTGTAGGGATTCAGCTTGGCTGTTCTTGGCATAGAACGGGGTCAGTATAGACAGCGAGGACTTGGATTAGTGTTAAGGTAGGTTAGTGTTAGATTCAGGCATAAGGTGTTAAGGTTAAAGTTTTATATTTGACTAGGTTCAGGTGAATATTAGGTGTTAGCGCTCATGTGAGAGGTTAGATGCAGAGTAAAGGTGGGGATTCTGTATAAAGGGAAACAAAGAAAATGTCCCCTAAACCAAGAAGAATCAGCACAAGGGACGCATTATACTAAATGTAAGTTATGTCCCTTTTGCTGATTTTAATGTTGGTAATTTAGGTTAAACATAGGCTTTAAATGCTGAGCGTCTTGAGAGATAATTTGTTATTTTAAGTGACCTATGCATAACAAACCAATAGGTTTAATTTTCATGAGCTGCTGATAGTTACAAGTGTTAGGTGTTTAGTTGGAGGGATGGAAAAAATGTTATTTAAGTATATTACTCAATAACCACAAAGGATATAAATCCACTATTTGTGCACCAAATGCTTTTGAAACCGTTATTAAAGTGACTGTAAAGGATTTTTTTTTAAAATAACATGTCTATATTTACCTGCTTTGTGCAATGGATTTGCACAGAGCAGCTCCACACCTCCTCTTCTCGGGTCCCCCACTGGCACTTCTGGCTTCTCCTCTCTGTCCAGTGCCCCCATAGGAAGCTGCTTCCCATGGCTGCACTGGTGTGTGCTCGCTCCTGAGCCCTAGTGCTGTATCCATTGACAGACAACGGGACTCAGCCCTGCCCCACCCCACACACACACACCCCCATGCCACTGGCTTTGATTGACAGCAGAGTGAGCCAAGCAGCATGTCGGCTTATATGGGGTCAAAGAGTACGAGGAGTGTGGAGGCTGACTCAAGCAAAGGAGAGACATCCATTTAAGGTGGATTACTACCCGTTTGGCAACTAACTTCCATGGTGGAGATACATAGGAGGAGCTGTCCCTGTAAGCTGTGAGGGTCCGGTCTGTGAGGTCTGGAGTGCCTTTCCTGTGTGCTGTGTGTGTACCAGTGGAACCCCCTGTCCCCGCCAGAACCCTGATGACCACCAGTGTTTCCTGGATATTATTACATGCGCATTAATATTGTGCTTCTGGTGAGTGCAAGCATACTTCAATCCCTTACCAGTGAAGTCACGAGCACGGAAATTTGACGCATCACTTTATGGACTGCTTATATCTCAAGATATCTTTAATTGTCATTTAATTTACTGCAATTTTATATATTTGCTATTTTATACATTTGCCATTTGATTTATCACTTAATGTGAAATTGTTCACTTATTGACACTATTTATCATCCATTCACTTTTTATCTGGTCACCAACTGACAACACTTCTGTTACACTTTTCTAGCGCATTACTTTGCGCCTTACCTTATGCACTTGTCACTTTCTCATCATTTTCAATATTTAGCGCTACATTTTATGTTACTATGAGTCAATACCTCCCGGTCCTCCAGCAAAGTCAGTGAGATCTGAAAGTGAGGGGAAAGAAGAGTTGCAGACGTGAACAGTGCTGGATTGAATGAGGGCTCAGGTAAGTAAAAGGGGGTGGGGGTTAGGGGCCAAAACCGATGCCTAGACATTTTTTTACTTTAATGATGCAAGGAATGCAGTAAGGTAAAAATAGTGTAGGCTGTAGAACCACTTTAACTTGTTAAGGTAGCAGTGACATGATCACGGTGCTGTACATAGCCTATGCAGAGAGTAGAGCTGTGGTAGTGACCCAGCAGACCCACCTACTACAGACTGCCTTCACAGAACTACAAGAGGGGAAGGACATAAGACCAGTCATCTTGCACAAGGAAAGAGAACAGCAGTTACTGGTCTTTATTACAGGAAGCTCCTGCATAGAGGAAAATTTTCACACTGGATTACTGCATAGATCTGGAAGAAATACACAAAGCACACCAACATTCAATTAAGGATGCAGATGCCTCTTGTATTTAGACAATACTTGCTTATCCTGGAGTTTAGCTTTCAGAGATACATAAATTATTATTATTATTATTATTATTATTATACAGTATTTATAAAGTGCCAATGGTTCGCTCAGCGCTGTACATTACAAAGGGGGACAGAACATGTGACAGAACAATACCAATACAATGTAAAACATGAGGGGATTGAGGGCCCTGCTCTTTCGAGTTTACAATCTAGGAGGGAGGGGATGGTGGTACAGGAGGAGATAGCTGTGGGGGATGGAGTGGTAGGAAGAGTGGAGGAGGTCGGCAGGTTAGCAGGGGGTGGGGTAGGCTTCCCTGAAGAGATGGGTTTTCAGGGTGCGCCTAAAGGAGAGGAGAGTAGGTGATAATCTGATGGGTTGGGGCAGGGAGTTCCAGAGGATGGGTGACACCCTGGAGAAGTCCTGGAGGCGGGCATGGGAGAAGGAGACCAGGGAACTAGAGAGAAGGAGGTCTTGTGAGTAGCGGAGTGTGCGTGCTGGGCGGTACTTGGATATTAGGTCAGTGATGTAGTTCGGGGCAGTATGGTGGACAGCTTTGTACGTCAGTGTTAGGATTTTGAATTTGATCCATTGCGCAATCGGAAGCCAGTGGAGGGATTGGCAGAGGGGGGTGGCGGAGATGGAGTGGTTGGAAAGGTGAATGAGTCTGGCAGCCGTATTCAGGATTGACTGAAGCGGGGATAGCCAGCGGCGAGGCAGGCCAGTGAGGAGGGAGTTGCAGTAGTCGAGTCGTGATATGATGAGAGAGTGGATGAGCTGTTTAGTGGTTTCTGAGGTTAGGAACGTGCGTATTTTGGCGATGTTACGGAGGTGGAGTCTGCACGAGTTTGTTAAAGATTGGACTTGGGGCTGGAAGGATAGGTTGGAGTCCAGAATGACACCAAGTACTCTGGCCTGCGGGGCGGGTTTGATATTGGCGTTGTTGGATGTGACGGAGAAGTCAATGGGGGGTGGTGTCCGGGCTGGGGGGAAGACAAGAAACTCGGTTTTGGAGAGGTTCAGTTTAAGGAAGTGGAGCGACATCCAGTCTGATATGTCGCTCATCAGTAGGTGTGTGAAAATAGTGTGTAATAAATAGTGTACTGCTTTAAAGCTTTAGTTAACAATCAAGGTCGTAATTGTCTGGGGGATAAAGTCTAAGTACAGCCAAAAAAAAAAAAAGAAAAGAAAAATCAACAGGACGTGTCCCTTGTGCTGAGGCCTATGTATTAT